CGACCTCAGGGAGGCGGCAGCTGAGGCTGTGCGAACCGCTGCAGTACTCAGCCGCCCCCACGACCACGACCAGCAGCACAAGCAGCACCACTTTGACTACGAACAGCAGTGCCACCACGAGGATCGCGACCATCGGCACCACCGCCAGGAACCCCTCATCCTGCCGCCCGTCATCCCAGACGCTGCATCGTCCATGCCAGCCAGCACCAGCACCAGCGCCGACACCTCCGACATCTGCACCGTCATCGTTTACTCCTGCATCGACGTGGCGGTGCCCGCACCGACGCCCGCATCGACCTCGCCTTCGTCATCATCGGCTCCAGCGTCGACGCTCACACCATCGGCCATTCGCGCTCAGAACCTTGACCGTTGTATCGGACGCGACCCCTTGTACGCCACTTTCAGCATCTTCGGCCCCATCCTCGAATACGACATCTTCGCCGACTGGTCCGGAGGGTCCTCGGTGTCGCGGCCACGGCAGCAATCGCACAGTCCCACACCACGCTCGGCATCCCCTTCGGCCAGAGTGAAGCAACAGTCACGGCATCGACCTGCAGCGCCGACGCCAGCGCACCGGTTCTTGAGGCAACGAGTCCTGCCGCGAGCTTGCCAGATATTGAGATCATGTGTCCGAGGAGGTCGATGTTTCCAGGGACCGGTTGAAATTTTCCGAGCCCTACTCTCAGCAAGTCCCCTTCGAGATTTGCTGGAAGCTGCAGCACGAACAGTTTTTGAGCACGGCGGAAAAGATGCCTAGCAGGGCACCCGACCTGGGCCAGACGGCCTGCCTTTCTCTGGCGGGTCAAGCGCAGGCGAGAGAGCCGCCGGGACCTTTTGCTCGCATCACCTCACGTCCTCCAAGCTACCCCCCTCACACACCCAATTTTCATGGCGCCATGGAGACCTTTCTAGCGAAGGGCGTCGAGTCCGCTGGCACGATCTTCGTGGTGAGGGCCACAGAGAAGACGCTGCATATCTCCTTCGGACACGGACAGTATGATTCTTTCGGCGGCGGTCAACGTGTGGATCAGCGTCGCATGCCATGAGTGGAGTGATTTCTCCCCACTATCGAAGTTTTGTTTGGGGTCGTTCGATGTCGGGAGATATCCCGGATCTTGAAGCGACGTGTATTCATTGGCCGTCCTTGCAGAACATTGTGCAGCGCAGCGGATGTGCATGTTTGGATCTGAAGGCGGCCTTCCCCAGCCACATTTATGCCGCCCTCATCTTTACCCTGGCCAAGCCTCTGCCGAAACGTTATCCGGACCATGTGTGACAATGTGGTCAGCGCTGTGTCGTTTCGATGAAATCGAGACCATGGATTCCACCTAGCCTGTGGTTTTAGCAGGGTTGCCCGATGCCTGGTTCACCTTTCGATTTGGCCTACGACCCGATGTTGAGAATGCCGCCCCTCGCCCCTCTTCACGAAGCATATGCTTTTGCTGAGGCCTCTCGATCCTGTTCCCGATCGCCATCGAAATCTGAATCCTGGCGGGGACGGCTTCGGCTTTCGTAAGACGATCGCGGTCCTCCCGGGGCGGGTTTCGGAAGATGAGTTTCCTCGCCGCATCGCTCGATTCGGACGCCCCGCCAAATGCCAGGTAGCCCCTTGCGCGAGATATCTTGGTATTACGTTGGGGCAGCACGGCCACGGGAAGAGCTGGAGGCTCCAACTTGGCAAGTTCCGCGGGACAGCGTTCTCGGTGCAGGGCCTGGACTTGGGCCTCGTCCCTGAGTTCCGCTGGCCAGCTCTGCTCCCCGTCCCTTGAAGTGCTCAGACAGGAAGCAAGGATGATGCAAGTTGTTGTTCGGGGCCCGTCCAATGCCATCCCCTCCCTGGACCCCCAGAACATGAAAGCGCTTGATTTTCCCGCTCAGGCTGCCCAGGTACGTATCAGGAGCCAGACTGCCCGATGTAGCGTTGCCGAGAGAGTCTCGGCCCTGACGGACGCTGAAGAGCTTTTCTTCAGCTTCGACGGCACGGACGCGCAGTGTCATGAAGCACTTGTACGACAACTTCAGGTCTTTCTCGGGCATTCCCAGGCCTTCCGTGAGGTCCCGTTCATGCAACGTCAACTTGAAACGTACCTGGTCAGTGTCTCAGGAGCAGCTCCCCCTTCCTGATGATCGGTCGCTGCGCTGAAACAAATGAGCCCGAAATGTCCCTTAAGAGGCGTCCAGAATCTTGGGTTTGTTTTCGAGAGGGTTACAGAGAGGGTTTCCCCTTGTGTGCTCGCTGTTTTGTTCAATACCTTTTCTTAACTGTTGGACCTGTAGCGGTAGCTCCACAGGTCTCACGAAAGATTGCATAGCATGTAGCCGCCCAGGGGGAGTCCGTTCGTAACATCCTTGGTTGCTCGCGTTTTTCGGAGCTTGGGTTGTATTTGCCCCTGCTCCCCTCGGCCTTCGTCTACAGTGGCGGTGCCAAGAAACTGCAGGTGAATCAGCTTCTTCATTTTCTATTGTAGAGGCTCAGGTTTGAGGCCCGACGCAGTTTAGGCATCTCCGTCTGCCGAAATCGCATTCCCGTTTGCCGCTTTGGCCACCTGCCGATCTTAGGTTTTAGGCTCCCAGGTTCATGTATTCGCACTTATGTGGCCCATGTTGCGAAGGCAAAGTTGTTCTCGTTGCGAGGGCGCAGCGCCCTGGTGCATCTTTGGTGCCCGCGCGGTTATCCTGTGTACGCGTAGGGGCGCGGGAGCAAGTGCCATGTGTGCCCACGTGTGCCTCCAGCGGGAACGCCAAATCATCGTCAAGCGATTTTTGGCCTCCCCCCTGAGCTTTTACATGTTCTAGGAGGCCTTTGGTGGCGTAGCTCCGTATGTTGATGTCGTCTACAGTACGTGCCACCATCTTAAGCATCGTAGTTTCATGCCCCCAGCAATGCACACTTGTTGCAGGGTGCGAATAGCACAGCTGTTGCGTCGTCGATCTGGTTTCGCAGACCTCTACGGTCAGGTGGATCGGAAACCCGCGCCGCCCCGACCTGAGGTCAGGAGTTTAGTTCGGCTCTTTGCTGGGGCTGTTGCCGATTGCATCCCGCTTGCGCCCGAGGGCAGGCAGGACCGCCCAACCGCCCGGCCAAGGTGGGAAATCGAGCCGGGTCGGCCGATGTCTTGCGTTCCCCCCGAAGCGAATTCACTCCTCCTCCTCCTCCTCCTCCTCCTCGTTCTCTTCTTCCTCTGTATCCCCCCTCCTCCGAATTATTTCCTCCTCTTCCTTGAGGCTCCAGTCGTGGGGCCATCAATTTTCGACCACTTCCGACGCGCACGGTAGGTCGCACATTTCTGAGGTTTCTCGAAGTGCGGTTTTGCCCGATTTGTTCGATCTTCGGCCCGACGCAGTTTCGCCGCCGCCACCTCTTTCTCCCCTCGGATCCGAAATGTAGTGGTAAATATCGGGAGGATCATGAACAAGATATAGGGGATGAGGAACTGGAGGGGAGAGCAGGATCATGCTCTCCCCTCCAGCTCCTCCTCGTAATGCTCACCATTTTGGTGTTCGTACTCCCCCCATTGAACATGTCGTCCGAGTCAAAGAGCTCCAGCGGCATTGGTCGTGCTAGCAACGCGAGGCCCCTTGGCGGAAGAAGGGCCATCCGACATGGTCGGAGAGCGTCGAAAGTACTCGTATAATCTCCAGGACCAGGTTATCAGCGTAAAACAGACAAAAGAGGAGGAGGAGGAGGAGGAGGAGGAAAAGGAGGAAAAGGAGGAGGAGGAGGAGAAGGCAACGGATGGACGATATCACGGGAGACAGGCGCAATGATGGTCACGGAGCGCACAGTCCTGGGCAAAGGTCTTGCTTCCACTTTCACCTGCCCGCCGTAAACGAATCGGGCGCCAGTGCCAAGTCATTCCGCACAGCAGATGCAGGCAGCATGCCAATATGATATTGTTTGTCCACTCCCAAACAACAGTTGATTTGAACATATGTTGGGGAAATCCGTTAAATAAACTATGCCCCACAATTTTTGTTGGTTTTTTGCCTTTTCCCCCCGAGCCGTTTCCTGACGGCCCCGAAGCCCCAGCAGGACAGGTTGACAGAGTGGCGGCAAGACCGGCCGCGCCGATATTCTTCTCTGCGAGGCCACTGGCGGGGCCCCCGTGTGTTCGCGCCGCGAAACACGCCACGCGGTGTTATGGGGGTCGCCAGCTGCCAGTGAGGATTGGATTTCGACGATCGAGGGGTCATACGTTTTGCTCTACGATCCTGCGCGCCTCGGGGGGAGCTGCCTATGGGGCCGAGGGGGACCGTCCATGCCTCGAGGGGCTGGCGACCCCCCTGTTGTGGTGGCCCCCCTCCCTCCTTGGCACCCGCCGGCCTGCTCTTTCCAGCAGCGGCCTCTCGGAAGTCCGGGCCGCCTCCGTGGGGGGTTGGTCTTTCGTCCCGGGCCCCTGGCTTGGCCCGGGATCGGGAGCCTTGAGACGGGGGTCAATGCAAACGGGGGTCAGCCACCGGATCCTGCAGGATCTTGCGAAGACCCCCTCTGGCTGACCCGGGTTAGCGAGCCGCTCGTGGCCGCGCGGCGGCCGCGCATATTGGCTGACCCGGGTTTGCGAAGACCTGCGTTGCAGTTGTTTGTTTCCTGCATTGCAGTTTTTTGGTTTCCTGCTGGCCCGGGTCTGGATTGACCCGGGTCAGAAGATCCCCGACGGGAGGGCGGGAAGGACGAAGGAAAGAAGCCACATCGCAGGAGATTTTGGGCTGGAGGGCGTGGCGGCGGAAGGCGGCGCGCAGAGCAACCCCGGAGGGCCCGCCTGGAGCCACGGCGCTGCCTCGGGGCCTCCGTGGTCCCCATCTGGGAAGCCCCTATTCAGGAGGGGGAAAAACACAGACACAACTAATCGTAGATTTCCAGGAAAATATGCGAAAATATGGGAAGTGGGGGAAAATATTGCGGAAATATCGGGAAATACGGGGAATCCGATCATTCGTGTGTATTAATTTGTGTGTCCCGGGGCCCCTTCACCTATGTTTCTGGGCCTCCCTGGGCCGAGGAGCACTACGCCTGCTACTGGGGCGCCTCCCTCGGCGGCGCCCTCGCAGCGGCCTGCGTGTTCGCGCACGGCACCGGGCGCCCCCTCTTCGGGGCCGCGCCTCGGGCCGCGGGCGCTGCCTGCGCGGAGCGGAAGCCCAAGCAGCTCTGACCCGCGGGGGGGTGCGGCGGCAGTCGCGCGCCGCGTCGGCGCGGCTGCGACCCCCGCGCGGCCGCTCTCGGACATCCGGCGTCCGGCATCTGGAAGAATCGAGACGGAGGTCCTTTGCAGTTGTTCGGCCTCCAGAGGGGCCCCCGCCAGGCTCTTGGGGCCGTCGGGCAGCAGCTCGTGACTCGTGGCGAGACGCCTGCCCTGGGGGACAGGTCGGGACTTCCAGGGACCCCGATTATATATATATATATATGTATATATGTATACATAGAACATATATATATATATATATTATATATACATATATGTATACACATACATACATACATATATATATATATATATACACATACATACATATAATATACATATAACAAAAGAACAAGCAAAACACATGTGTGGGCTCAATCTTTAGATCCGAGCGAGACGCATTTTTTCACACTGGGCGCTTGCGCTCTGTTTCGGGCCCTGGGTGCCCTCGCCGATCGATCCGGCTCGAAACATGCAGCAGAAAGATGGGGTTCAGAGCGCTGGTGAGGTTTTTCACGACGTCGCAGTTCTTTGCGGCGTCGGATTTCAGAGCGCGCGCGTCGTCACGACACGAAGCCGCCGTGCGGTAGGTCTCCGTCGTGTCGACCGGCGGCGACCCCGCCAGCGGCGTTCAACGTTGAACGCCGCCAGCGACCCAGAATCGGTCGATGTAGAGCGATCTAAACGTTTCGGAAACGGCCCATCGTTCAAGTCGGAAGGATCCAGCGTGCTGTCAGAAACCATTGCCAGGGTTGGCACGATACGAGCCTGCCTTGGCCAGATCTGCTTCCACACTCGTGAGCGTGCAGTGGCTGCTGCTGCTGCTGCTGCTGCTGCTGCTGCTGCTGCTCCTCCCCTGGCCTCCGAGAAGGACTGGGCTCTGCAGTCCCGTCGTCTACCCCCCGGTCTCGGCCTCGCGGGGGCCGTTCTCGGGCCCACCAGGGGTCATGAATACAGTGGAGAGCCATGCCAAGAAACACCCTGCTTGCCTCCAGGGTGCCCTTCTTGGGTTTCGATGGTTTTGCGATGGACAGCGTGACGTTCCCACGCCAATAATCAATGGGCGTCCTGGGGTCTCAGGGTTGAGTTTCTTGCGGAAGGTTTCCTGTGGACTAGCCTCCACTGTATGGATCTGGGATCGTACAACTGCCAGGCTCAAGGGAACGCTAACATGGATGAAGGCGCGTGGATTGGCGACGGGTCCCGTTTCCATGCCAAATCGACGCGCGCTGTCGCCACATGGGGCGGCACTGGTCTCATATTTCGGGTGTACCTTCCCCGATTCATGGATCTGGCGCCTTCGCATCAGATCCACGGATCACTACTCCATGTTAGCGTGCGCCCGACAGGGGAAGGGGTCAGGAGTTCTGGGGCCCGCGGATTGTGAAATCACATCGCCAGATGTCTGGATCCTCCTCGATCGAGGTCCGTTGGAAGCCTCGTGCTTCGTTTTCCACCCGGCCAGCGGCTAGGGCGAATTCGGTGCGGAGTGGCAGCCCAAGCAGCACTGCCCAGAAGGACTCCACAGACCCTCAGATCCTAGCGTCGCACAGAAAAAGTCGCGGCGACGGCTGGCCTGCGGCTTGCCGCCGTTCCCAGCCTCGGGGAGCCCGTTTCGGGCCCAGGGGCGCCGTCAGAAAACGATTGGGCATGCAAGGGCGGCCCCCAAGAAAGGGTTCGGAGGGCACCAACTATACACCTGCACCGATCCTGGCCAGCCCGATACTGGACCCAGGATCGGTGTGTGTGTGTGTGTGTGCCTTCATGCGGAAGCCAAGAGGGCGTATGCACCGGTCTTGGGCCCAGGATGGTCCCAGCCAGGGCCGGTGTAGATGCACAGTTGGCGTCTCAGCTGCCCTGATGCGCTCGTTGTGAAACGAAACACGTGCACGCCGGTCGGTGAAAGTAGGCATTTCTGGATCCCCATGTCCTAATCTACTTTAGCCACCTTCCTACTTCAACAGGCGAGTGGTTTTCCCTCTTCCCTCCTCCTCATGGGGCGGGCGAAAACCCCATCTACTTCCAACGCTTTCCTACTTTATGCTTCTACCCACTTCTTCCGACCGACGGGTACTGTGTTCAAAAAAACAGTGTTAGTACGCTGCGTCCTGGCTCACGTTTCGGCGAACGCATCGCGCCAGACCTACGTTTTCGATCTGCGTGTTGAGCTCCGTATTGACACGCTGCGGGTTGCGTGTTGCGTGTCGGCGCGGCTGCTCTTGGCGTCCTCCTACAAGTCCGGACGCAATTCACGCAACGACGCCAGGTGATTTTTTGACGATGCGTCCTCGTTGAGCGGCCTCTGATGGGTGGGGTTGGGGGGAGGAGTTGGAGTTTGAGTTGGAACATGGTGAGGGGATGTGGAGGGGAAGGAGGCGGAGGTGGAGGAGGAGGAGGAGGAGGAGGAGGAGGAGGAGGAGGAGGAGGAGGACGACGAGCTGCAAAGTCGAGAGGCGTTGGGCACTGTGTCGAGCGGCCCCGCCAGAACTGCCGGGCGCGCCGGGCTCCTGGCTGGGCGCCTCCCCGCCCGTGCCGCTCGACACGCTGGCTTCGGCTCTGACGGGCGGGGGCAGGCTCCCCGCGGCGCCGGTTCGGTTCTACCTCGCCACCTCCCTCCTCCCTCCTCCCTCCTCCCTCCTCCCTCCTCCCTCCTCCCTCCTCCCTCCTGGACGAAAGGGGGGGGATTGGGAAAAGGGGGGGTTGCGAAATTTGCTGCGTGCAGCCGGTTTCGGCCCCACCGAGGGGCCCATTCCTCGATGCATGGCCGCCTCCGGCGCCGGGAGGCGCGGGGAAAAGCAGCGACGTGAGCTGATTCTCAGCCCCCCCATTTGCTATCCCCTTTCGCCCGACCCGATAGTTGTGACTGGACTTGTAGGGGTCGGGATCTCTTCCCTAGCCACTGTGGCTCAAGGCCGACGGCACGTAGGAGTGACCCGTCGCCAGAGTGACCATTGGTGCGGGCCCGCTGGGGCCTCCTGATCGCCGAATGCGATGCGACAGCAGCGGCCTGCGCGATTGGGTTCGGCCACCTCGCGCCCCCCAGAACCGCGCACCACAGGCCACCTCTTGCCTAGGGTCACTCTTGCCTAGGGCCACTCTTGCCTAGGGTCACTCTTACGTGCAGCCGACAGGGGCCGTCTTGCTGGCTCGCAGGCGGGTCGATCGCGGCGCGCCCCGGGCGCGCGGGCCAGAGCTCCCTCGGGGCGGTGCCACCGACGTGGGGCCAGACAGCCGCGCCGGGGCCCCCGCGGAGGGCGAGGGAGTCTCCCGCGACGAGGCTAAGGGCAAGGGTATCTCCAGCGAAGAGAACCGTGCACACGCACCGACCTTGGCCAGGCTCATCCTGGTCAGCGCCTTGAACCTTCTTCGGGGAAATCCGAGCCTATTCTGCGTTTGGTAATAAGCGGGGTAAGCGGGGGGGGGGGGCGCCACCCTCGCCGACAGCTCCAAACCGACCCCCGCCGCGGGCAAACATCGCCGCGCGACGTCGGCCCCAGTCGGCTCACGCCACCCGCCGCAAAAACCAGACCCCCGGCCCACGGGCGCAGAGCCCCGAGCACCTGGCGCAGGGCCTGCAGAGAGCTACTATAGAGCCTTTGCGTTGAGGTGTGCACGAGCGCCGACGTCACGGGATAGGGCGCGCGGTGGCCACACCCATCTCGAGCGACACGCATCGAGATTCTGGCAACCCCGCCGCCCAGCAGACGATGAGCGTAAGCGTGTCGGCGCAGAATGTGCGGGCGATGTTTGGCATTCTCGCCGAGGCCTCTTGGAGCATCTTGGGTGCGTCTGGGGGGTCTCTTGGGGTCTCTTGGGGGTCTGTGGATCTTGGGGGCCTCTTGAGGCTTCCTGGCCACCTCTTGGGGCCCTCTTGGGGCACCCTTGGGAGCCTTGGGGGCCATCTTTGGGCAATCTTGGGTAAGATCGATCACAGGAGGGGGGGGAGCAATAATTAAGGTTCCCCTCTCAGGAGGCCAAAATGGGGCCAAAACCATCGTAAAACGAATGATTTTGGCTTCCTCGCCGAGGCCGTTTTGGACGCTCCGACACCTCGCGAAACCCCCTGTCCAGGTCCATGGGGAGGGGGTAGGGGAAGGGACAAACCCCTCCCCGAAGGAGAAGAAGGAGGGGTGGAAGAGGAAACTGCCTAAACCACCGACGCCCAGAGGGCTGGTGGGATTTTTTCCACGGCGTGGAGAGAAACGGGGACGGAACATGACAGATCCGCGCCGGAGATTTGGACCTCCGGCTGCTCCGAACGGCCCTGACCGAGCCGCCCTGCCTGTCCGCAGAGGGCAGTCGTGCACCACCACCCGCCATGCCCGGCCAGGGCCATCCTGGGCCCCAGGGCGGTGTCTACATACGGTGCATCGACAAAATGGTGCACCACCTGGCGCTGGAAATAAATCGCATCGCTGTCGTATCAATCGTGTGTTCCCCCCCCCCCTCCCCCCCGATCTTAATATTGGGTTCGGACCCGGGCTGGTCGAAACAGCTCGGTGGTGCAACATTTTGTCGGGAGCCCCCGGGCAGAACAGGGGCTCTTCGCCATGCACCCAATATTAAGATCGGGGGGAAAGGGGGGGCAAGAGCAGTGGAGTACAGGTGGCAATGCCCAGCACACGTGGTGCAACATTTTGTCGATGTACAGTACGGTGGGTTCGTGCGGCGTTGGAGCACCGGCGGCGCTGGCGTAGCCGGCAAACGCGTTCGAGATTGGCGGCTCCAGGGTCGCGCGGGAACACGGGATGGCAGAACGTCGCGGAAGCACCGAGGGACTTCGGCAACGCCACAGGGCCCGACGGAACTCAACCTTGAACGATCGGGGCCGCGATCGGTTCAAGTTGAGCGGTGGACGCGGTGTCAAAAACCATTGCGCGCGCGCCGACGTCGCACGAACCTACCGCCGACCTCCCCGCTTCGGCCAGATGGACGCACATGCACACCACCCTGAGGCTCAGGTGGGCCGTCAACACGCACGGCGGCGGTGCGCATGGCGCCCTATGCGGCACTGCCCGAGATTTGGGCCTCCCAAATGGGGCCAGAGCAGATGGGGCTAGACGATCGCACCGAGTCACCGATGCATCGGCGATACGGCTCCATGTGGAGCCCGATTTGCTCCACGCCGACGGCGCCGATGCATCGGCGAGGTCGCCGATGCATCGGTGATACATCGACGATGCGGCGCGATTCTCTGACCCCCTTTGCTTCGACCCCATCTTCGGGGAAACGTAGAACTCGAGTTTGCGGGAAAGCGGGCTTGCCGACGCTTTTTGGCGGGCCCGTCCTGAATCTTGACGGTCCAGTTGTCGTGGGATGTTTGCAGCGGCAGTTCGCGTCAAATTTTGGGTTGAGCATCGTCGTTTTCCTGACGGCCCTGTCAGGCCAACCCGCATCTCCCGAACCCAAGCCTTACAGTCAAGTCGCATAGTATGGATGAGCAACTTTCCAATGCTACCCTTGCATCCGTGCCCCGACGGCCCATCCTGGGCGACTGTCGCTGGCCAGCCCCCTCCGAAAACGCCAGCGTAGCAGGGCCCTTGCACCCTCATCGCGCATCCTTCTTGCGCGAGTTGACCGTGCGTCTCCCCGACGTCTGGGAGGCCTCTGCGAGAGCCCCGCGCGCGGGCGACATGCACGCCGCTGGCGCCCCCGCGCATGGCGAGCCCCCGTGCCCGCGCCCCGCGAAGCGCCTGCGGCCGCCCTCCGCCGGCGGCGGCGGAGCGCGCGAGGCCTCGGGCTTGGTCTTCCCTCCTGGCCACCAAGGGGTCTGCAATCACAGAGCCGATTATCCTTGGAACGCCCACCCTCCCCCTTCCTCCTCCTCCTCCTCCTCCTTCTCCTCCTCGTCCTCCTCCTCCTCCTCCTCCTTGCGAACGCCACCATGTGTTTGTCCACCGAGGCCCTTCAATGTAGCGTGGGCGGCGCAGCGAGGGCCGGCACAGGCTGCGCGCCATCGGCGGAAGCGAGCGGGGGAAACACACGGTGGGGCTAGCGGCCAACATACGTCCTGAGGATCACCGGCAGGGGCTTGATGCGAGACGCGACAGATGGGTTCTGGTGCCCTTTTCTGCCGAAGAGGAGTGGCCTGCACTGGAACACGGATTCCTCGACATCCCCATGTGAGCGCTGCGGCGCTGCGCGCCCATCCCCGTAGTCGGGACAGCTCTGCTGAGGCGGCACCCCCTCTCTCTCTGTCTCTTTTGTTTGTTAATACATCTCTCTCTCTCTCTCTTTCTCTATTTATTCATGATTGTTGTTTCTGATTATTTTTGTTTAGTATCGCTCTCTCTTTCTGTCTTTCTTTCTTTCTTTCTTTCTTTCTTTTTTTTTTTTTTTTTTTCTCTCTCTCTCTCTCTCTCTCTCTCCTTGCCATCAACGCCCGATGTTCAACGAGCGGTTCCACTAATCGCGCGGTGCTTACTCGCAAACGTCCGAAACACACACATGTATGCCTCGATGTAGTGGGTCGTGAATCCCCCGCGGCGGATCCAGGCCATTTGCGAGTAGTGGAGCGCGCTTGTCTAGATGTCCACCCAGCCGCGTGCGGCTTCCCCTCTCCGCCCCCCGCTTGGAGGGGGCGAGGGGTCGGGGGGGGGGCCTTCCAGCCTGGGCGGAAGGCGCCTGAGCGACGGAGGGAAGCGGGGTCGACTGCGCCGACATTCACGCGCAGGCCTCCCGCGTAAGGCCGCGCGCAAGTGCCCTCTTTCTCCACTGCGGCGTGCGTTCATTTTCGAATAGGGGATCGACTACAGACTGGATCTTCCCCACAATTTCAAATCTGGGGCAAATTGATTCTGCAGCCGACCCCCTACTGGAGGCGTGAGGTCGCTATGCCATCTCGCGCGAGACCCGCTGCTCTTCGTCGCTCTCTTGGACCCGGCACCCCCTCTCCGCGTTCCCCTCCGCCCGCGAGACCAACCAACCTCCCTCCCCCTTTGCTTCCTCCTCCCTTCCTCCTGCCCACCGCCCTCCCCCCACCCTCCCCCACTCCCCATCTTCTCCTTCCTCCCTCCCACCCCTCCCTCCATCCCTCCTCTGCCGTCCCCAGAGCTCCCAGAGGTCTGCGCCCCCTCCACCAGAGGTCTGCGCCCCTTCCCCGCTCACGCCGAGGCCTCCGCCCGCGAGGCTCTCCTGCCGAGCCGCCGGGAGCCGAAGGAGGTGCGCCGCAGCCGCGCCGAGGCCCCGGGGCGGAGCCCAGAGCAGGGGCAACGCTTTGGGAGGGGATGGGTTCAGGTCGTCTTCCCAGAGAGGGAATTGCAGATGCGTGCTGTGGTGGCGTTTCGGCCGGAGAAGGCTCAGCCAGTGAGTACACCCCCCGGTCAGGCAAGTCCCAGGCGGGCCGAGCATCCGTGTCTCGGTGCACCCAAGTGCATCAGCGGAGCGACAGAACACATCATCATCATCATCATCATCATCATCATCATCATCAGCATCATCAGCATCATCAGCATCAGCATCAGCATCAGCATCAGCATCAGCATCAGCATCAGCATCATCATCTCCATCACCATCAGCATCAGCATCGTAATCACCATGATCTTCATTTGCATCATCATCAGCAGAATTAGCATCATCCTCAGCATCCTCATCATCATTCTCATCATCATCTGCATGATCATCAGCATCATCATCAGCATCAGCATCACCATCGCCATCAGCGTCCTCATTAGCAACAACATCATCACCATTGCCATCACCGTCATCATCTACAACACCATCATCATCATCCTTACCATTATCATCATCATATGCGTCATCGTCATCAGCGTCATCATCGTCATCATCATCATCATCATCATCGCCATCATCATTACGATCACCATCATTATCATAAGCAGCAGCATCATCATCAGCATCATCACATCAGCAGCATCACCATCATCATCATCGTCATCATCGTCAGTATCATCGTCGTCATCATCATCCTGATCATCATCATCATCAGCATCACCATCATCATCATCATCATCATCATCATCATCATCATCATCATCATCATCTGCATCATTATCAGCATCATAATCTCCATCTTCATCGTCATCTCCAGATTCACCTTCATCTTCATCGTTGTCATCAGCACCACCACTGTCATCATCACTTGTGGGGATAGGTTCAGGCCTGGGCCTCGCAGACCTCGACTAGGAGATCGACTACATGATTGATTTACCCCGGGATTGTTCTCATCGAGTCAGCACAATCAAGACGCGATCAATTGGTAGATTTACGAAGCTCCAGCGCATGTTTCTGCAGATTCGACAAGCAAATTCATTCTGGGACAACTCAACTACGTATGTAGTGGATGTCCTGCTCGAACGTCTGGGGAGGAAGGGATATGCTCAGAACTGGGCCTCCCAGATTCACCAGAGAAGACAGACCCACCACCCCCAGTGAGGGGGGGCTGGCCGCTCCCCCCCCCACTCGAGCTGGTGGCACCCTGCTCTTGGCGCGCCCCAGGAGAGTTCCCAGGACGGGGTGCGACCGGCTCGGGGGGGCGCCCTCTGGGAGCAGCGTTCCGTGGAGCTCTGGTGGTGGCGGCTCCTTGTGCTCTCTGGACGGATGGAGCCGCAGCAGATGTGGTCGGAGACTCACCGACGCGGCTCGATGTGGAGCCATAGTGTTCTCCACACCGACGTCGCCGACGCATGGCTGGCGGAGGCGGACGGGGACTTGGTCAGCGTGTCGC